TTATATGCAGCACAGCTGTAATCAGCCCTATTCATAGCATTTTCAACTGCAGACTAAACGTCTCTACTAAATGCACAATAAAGGAACTGCTCTAAAAAAATCCCTGTGTTCTGCTGTGCTTGATACTAGTCTTGCTATTAGTCATCAGTAAAGGTCTTCATTTTACTAACAATAAAATGGACACAATAACAGCTTCCTACATTTCTAAATTCTCTCAGACTTACTGTGTAAATTAATGTATGCACTAACAGGACACTTCTTCTCATATATGTGATTTTTTCATAGAATCATTTAGGTTGGAAAAGACCTTTAAGATCATCAAGTCCAACCGTTAACCTAACACTGCTATTCCACCACTAAACCATGTCCCTAAGCACCTCGTCCACCCATCTTTTAAATACCTCCAGGGACGGGGACTCAACCACTTCCCTGGGCAGCCAGTTCCAAAGCTTGACAAACCTTTCAGGGAAGAAATTTTTCCTAATGTCCAACCTAAACTTGCCCTGGCACAACTTGAGGCTACTTTCATTCACTGCCACACCATAGTAAGAGAAAGTGAACGGAAACCTATTTTACATATATCGTATCTGCTTTTTAATCATTAGAAAATGGGCTCCTGTCTGCATGCTGTTTAACAACATTGAGAAACCATGGGTACTTCAAAAATTAAGCTATTACCTCAAAAATCTATCAAAAATGTCAAAACAAAAATTTTGTTTTAAAGAGGAGTAACTATGCATTCTCAAATAAATTGTCACTGTTCTTATTTAAATGTATGTAACACAAATACTTAGTTTTAACTGGCCTAGGGGCAAAGATCCATTTCATTTTAAAAACAGGAAACTATTTTTTTCTCCAACCAAAGGTCTTTCTCAGACAAGGAGTAAGTCTGGCACTTACATCTGTATCAGAAGCATCACCACCAAAGCTTTCTTGCATACACTGTGACCTTTGAAAAATCCTTTGATGCTTGTATTCCACTTCTGAATCATACTCATTTGAATCTCTCAGGGTAGACAAACCACTGTCAAAACAGCTCTCAGGCAAGCTGTCAACTTCACAGTTTATCCTTTGCATAGGATCACAAAGGGCTAAAGAATCATAATCTTCATCCACACAAGAAGAATGAGATGATCTATTAAGAAAATATTGGAGGGGGAAAAAAAAAAAATTATTCCACAATCATTTTTCCCAACAAAATCTGAGCCATTCTGGAATAGTCAATACTTAGAAATGCTAACTATACAGTTTAAGACATATGCCAATGCCTATTTTGCCCTTGTAAATAATTTATTTTTCAATCATATCTCTTGGGATGCTCAGATTAAATTATATAATCTATGTTATCGATGATGACTTCCCGAGTCTCAGTAATAATGCCATACACAGAAAAAATAATTTAAAAAAAAGATTCAGAAAATTATGTACTATGAAGACATCAAAGGCAGAAAATGATAGCTGATGGCTTAGCTAATTTTGGCCTATTCTAAGACACATAAAATGACCTTAAAACACTGTATCTAATTTAAATGCATGCATTTGCTCACAGAGGCACACAGGCCAATACCCGTTATAAATATAGAAAAGGGGGTAACAGAGTTCAGAAGATCAGTAATGGTGGAAGAAGTCACTGAAACATGTTTTCTTACAGTTTCGTAGGCTACGCAAAACTTAAGGTTTTACACAAAAGTCCTTTCTTTCCCCTCGCCTTTCCTTCAAAGGCCTTTTCTTTCTTTCTTTCTTTTTTTCCATCTTGGATGTTGTAATACATAAAAATATTTAAATGGATGCAGCAATGACAGTGTGGCTTACAGGAAAAAAAATCTCATTTTTATTTATGTAAATGAAACTACAGAAAAAAAAGATAAATAGAATGAATAGTAGAAGACTCATTCTTTTTAACAAGTTTACTACGACTACAATCATTGTCCTGCTCCTGCAGCAAGACAGGGACAGGCACAAGTTAAAGTGAGGTAGAAAACATCTCCAAGTTACAGTGGAAAAGAGAGAACCAGTTTGGCTCTGTCCTATTGGATGTGAAGCACTGACCTGCTGCAACAGACAAGGTCAGCATTAGTCCTTGTAAAGACAGTTTGCTGCCAGAGGGGCTGGGAGCTCCCAGTGCAATGGCACACCACAGAAGAGTAAATTGGTGAGAATCACCAAATTATGAAGCTGTTACTAAGTTTAATATAATTCCTCCCTGCAAGTGGCCACACAGGAGTGACAGAGCCATCATTGTCCCATGCAAAAACATCCAGAACCATCTAATTTACAACCTGTCAGGCTAATGAATAATCACATGAATGAACATGATCTTTCTGTGAAATATCACAGCATCCATGCTATTTGTATTCATGCATCTACAGCCTATACTGAATCACTGAAATACAGAGGAAGAGCACATGCTATAACAAAGTTAAGTTTGTCAGGCATTCCCTGAAATAAAAGTCTTTAATAGTCAATTTTCAACCTCACTGAAGCATGAATCCAATGCTGGGAATTTCATATCTGCTTAAAGCAAGTTAGACCAAGATGTATGATACAACTAAAAAAAGAAAAAGTGTACTTACTAATGTAAATTGCTTAAAACATGTTAGAATGCAAATCAGCATCTTTTAATGCTGGTCTGATGTCAAGAGATAGACAAAGCACTGAAAATTAACAGGTTTGGGGACATTCATATCTCTTTCTCACAGTCACACCTGCTAAGAGTAAGTTTTATTCCTACCGCATAAACTTTTTCCCAAAGCAGCTTGCATTTCTCACTTTTGTGAGAATGCAAGGATTGCACCATGTGGTAGGTACTAATATATATTCACAGAGAAAGACATCACTAAGCCTCAAGAGAGTTTTTAGTTATCCCTTCAGAAAGCTACTCAATGTAATATGCAATTTAGTAGTGGACGTTTCCCAAAATTTGCAGGGGGTCCAACAGAGGGGGATTGGTTTTATCTTCATTCAGCAGAAGGAATCACTTTGTAACAAGCAAAACTTTACAGCCAGCAAACACATCTCACGTGGAGACAGCAGAGTAACGCTACTGAATGAATGGGGATATTATGAGTGTGAAGCAGAAGCCAACTTAATCCCTACTGAAAACATTCAACTCTCTGGCAAAATGTAAAAAACAGACATCTAAGAACTCTAACAGAGATCTCTCTAGAGTTTGAAGTACCACTGAAAGAAAAATAAGACAAAACAATCTATCGAGTAAGGACACATGTTTTTGTTGGCAGTTCCAGCTGTTTAAAAAAAAAAAAAAGTGTGAAAACATAACATGATCTATAGCACTTCCAATGTCCAGTGACTTCAGTGAGAGTCTCTGCAATGATCTGACAAAGCTCTGATCAATGACCTGCAACCAGTAAGTACAAAACCAAAGTAGCTCTGACCATTTGATATTTGCATTTAGATAACTTATGTTCTCTGTGGCTTTTACCCCATAAATTTCCAAGTGCATTCACTACTCTTGCATGTCTGTGTGAGATGAGGATGTTTATCCTTCTGAACATAGAATTAGGCCCACATACCCTTGTAATAATTATTACATGGGAAAACCAGACATGCAGGCCAAAGATATGACCAAAAATCTTTTATTTCTGAAGTACTGAGTGAGCTAGCTAACAGAGGTCCTCGGCAGATTTTTATGGTTGCTTGGAGACAAGGAGTGGAGACTGATAACCAAACTAGAATCAAAACAGTCCAAGACCAAATAAGAGCCTGTCTGAACTCTCCCTAAGTTCATTATTTGCACTGAAGAGTTTTCCTGAGCTTTCTGAAGTCATTGAAAAGATTCCTGTTGACTTCAGTATACTCTGGATCATATGCTGCGGTCACACATTCCTTCTGAATCAGACAGAACTATTATCTCTGTTACTTGACAATATTTGCTCTTCTGTGACTAGTGTGATGCCCTAGCCTTTTCAGGCTTAACAAAACCAAACCTGTCTTACCTGTCATACCGTGCATTTAGAGGAGATTGTCCACCATTAAATTTAGGACTGCTTCTAGAAATGGTACTTCCTGGTGAGGTGTTTGCTAACCGCTGCGACAGATACATAACAAATCCATAATGAGTTTGATGAACACAGTGTAAACATTTAGATTTTTCATGAAAAAAGTGTGCAGTATATTTTCATATATATTCAACTACTTATTTTTATTAAGCCTCATGCTTTATACAGGACTTCATGTCAAAAGGCCTATTGCATTTTGGCTCCACTGTTGCGTTAATACTGAACCTGCTAGCCACACGGAACCACAAAAGACAATGGAAATTCCAAGAGGATGCTTTCACTGACTTTGAAATGCTAGACTTTGAAAAGTAATGTCCAGAATAATGACATGTTTTCTACTGAAGTGAAAAGGAAAATGTCACTGGCTGAGCTAGTTTCAGTAGTGATACCTCCTGGTTCTGGAGTGAGATAGTGGAGAGAAGGAGAGATCCCAACCGATAGCACGTGACAGTATTTTGTACATTCTGCTGTCCCTCTACATGTTTATTCACTGGCAACAGTTTCCTCTGTCTTCTCTGTAATCTGCCTCTCCTACGTTTCAGGGCATGAAAGAAGAAATTATATTTCTTGTTGCATCTACAGTGAATCTCTGGTAGCCTGTATCAGCAAAAGGCACTCATGTTCATTGGTACAGTATGCTGGAAACAGGCAATGACCCCTATTTTCCTCCTTCCTGGCCAGTATTTTTGTGTGCCCATTATTCTGGCCCCAGGCTTCCCAATACTGCGAAATGGCAGTGTAGAGTAAATTTTTTCTAACTTCAAAGCCTTCCTTTCTCTAATTCAGAAGATGGTGGGTTACGTGTGTTACAACGGATTACTGTACAGCTGTGATAGCTCAGAAGGGTCTGACTGAGGACCCTATCATCAGCAGTCCCTGCTATTTATTTTCCCAGTGAGTTGCCTGGACAAAACTTCAAATTAGCTTAAGACCTTGCTACTAAACTAAACTAAAAAGTTTTCTGAAAAAGTGTGCTTTCAGTGATAGGGCATTCCCACATACATGATACAAACATATTCCCTTTAGTGCAAGAGAAACTGATGAATTATTCAACTCATCAGATACATTTGGCCAAAGCACCTCAGAAAGTAGTTGTGCTCTAACAAAACTCCATTATTTCACAAAACAAAAGTAAAATCTAAAAATATTCAACTACGCAAGTGTATTCCCAGAGTGAGTCCACAGAATAAAACTCAATTTTCTGAGTACCCACTGAAGTACAAATAAATTTGCATTTGGTGTATTATTTCTTAAACTTTCTAGTACAACATAATAAAATGATAAATACATACCAATGATCTGTTGTACTTGCTGAAACTGTTTTCAAGTGCACTTCTTAAACCATCATTGCTGTCATGCAGCTTTCTATTAGCTGACCTAACAAGGAAACATAGTTTAACTTGCAGGAGTAGAGTAAACAAAACATTAAAGATTATGTAACTTACTACAAAGAAAAAATAAAAAAAATTACCTATAAAAAAACCCTTTTGTTTTTCTTTAGATAAACACAACAGAGTAACGTGGAACTAGAAATGTGTTGTCATATACTCAAACAAATGATTGTACTTGAAAAAAGGACTGTGAAGTTTAGCCTCCAGTAGCAGCCTAGGAAACCCTGTTTCACTTTTCTAGCATGGTCTGTGGTCAGCTGAGGGGAAAAAGGGTAGTAAACAGATACAGCCATTTCTGAAATACAAAGCGACTACCCTTTAAGTATTGCTGAGATAACTCTAAGGACAGATGTGATTCAGTCACTTGAAACAAAGAGTATGTTTAGGATGAAGAAATTAACTAAGTATGTAAAAAACCTCATTCATCATGACCCTCCTCGAAAGCAAAAATCTCTGCTCCCCTTGTATAATACTGCACACACTTAGTGCTTTCCAGTAATGGTTAAGACAGGAAGTTACTGGAGAAGCGAAGTCAATAAAAAGAGGAGCCAAGTAATAATTTTTCTAATGGTATGGATAGACTAAAATCTCGTTCAGCCTGTCATAAAGAAGTGAAAATCACTGAAGCTAAGAAAAAAAGAAAAAACAACGAAGAGTTAGTGGCTCAGTAGCACAGCAGAGTTAGTAGCACAGTACCTTCTATGAGAGCTGAGCACAGTACCTTCTTTGAGAATTGAGGCCATTTCAATATTTTTGCTTGGTATTTTTCCCAAATACTATCCCAGTCTTTTGCATACAAAAACACTTACCCCCGAATATGCTGGGACAAAGTTTTGTTAATAAAAATCTGAATTACTAAGAACTTACTGAAGTATTTCAATTTGTCTCTCCAGATTATCTCTGTTCTCAGTATACTCTCGTATCATTTCTAGGTCTCTGCAAAAAAATACCAAGAAGTTATACTTTATAGGATATCCTTTTTTGTTTTTATAATATTGCTTTTGGCAGAGGACAAAACTCAGCAGTCAACATCTATAAGAGGTGATCAATATAGAGTGAGGAAAAGATATAATTTCAAAATATTTCTGAATACAGTTTTTTTATGTTTACATTTCTGCTGAAATATGTTAAAAGTTATTTTATGCAGAGTAAAATCACTTGGTAACTTCATTATCTCTGCCATTATATGTCAACAAAGACTGAATGAAAAATAAAAGATCTATAAAATAACCATATGGGCTGCCCCCTTTCCCGTTGAAATATCATTTGTGGTATCTGAAGATAACCACATAATGAAACTGTTGTTTACCCTCCTTTAAATGAATATCTACAAGCAGCTTTCATTCACTTTAGAAAAAAATGGTTGAGACTTATATGGGAGGCTTACAAAACTATTCTCCCTGATATTCATACAGATATTCATCTGAGTGCAAGTCATGGAGGAAAATAATGCCCGATGCTATAACTTTTACTCCTAACTAAAGTCCCAGTAAAATCAATGGGCTTCCCTGCAAGATTATGAGAGTTCGCATCACATCTAGAACTTGCACTTTCAGAAACCTGACAAGAGAATTGAACAGTAGTCCTGGCATACTTTGCATGGTGTCAAATATTTACCTGTCATTTATGGCAAATTTAGAAAATAACAATTACCAGCTGCATGCAAAAAAAAACTGTATCAGATAACAGATTTTTTCCCCCAGTGAAAATGCTATCATGTAGAAGTACCTTACCTCTCAGTGTTCAAAGTCTGATCCGCATACTCGCTTTTCAAGCTATCTAATTCACTCTGTAGAAAAGCTATATTTGTCTGTGCTTCTAAAAGATCTTTCTTAAGTTTCTGATTTTCCTTTAAAAAAGGAAGATATTATATGTTAGCTGTCATGGTCACCTGCATAAAATGTTGACCTGTTACAACAGTAAAATAAACGCCATAAAAATTAAATAAAAATGAAACACTAGAAAATTTGAGCATAGAGGAGGAAAGAAAATGAAAGAACTCTACATCAACAGAGAAGTCAGTAAATTAGCATGCAAGAACGACTGAACTTTTATTTTGCCATTTCATTTACACAAAAAGGGGACTATATCATCCCAAGCCAATTCTAAGTGTTATACCTAGAACGTATATGCATTTATACAGAACAGAGCTTTTTCACAAATTAAAGATCCTCATATACTTATCAATAACTTTAAAAGTTTATTCCGTAGCTTGACAGTAGTAAATGTAAAAAAAAAAAAAAAAAAAGAAACTGTATTGCAGAGGCTAAAACTCAGGCTAAATTAATATGGTAATGATAATCATCTCCTACCAGCAACATATCATGTATTCTTTTTTTCAATTCAACCACATCTTCCCTGTGGTTTACATTTTTGGATTGCTCCTCCAGCTAGAAGGATAAATATGCATAATTAATATATGTTATTGATTGTTTTGATTCAAAGTACATAAAAAGTAATGGAAATCATATTAAATAGCCCCTAAAACATTTTAAAGCTATTAGAAGTTTTTTAAACCCAGAGTTTTCCCAAGTGTGTGAGTAGGCAGCGTTACGCCAAAAATCACTGGCTTTCTATATTAATTTTTTTAAGCAATAGTTAAAAAATGTTTAATGAGCATTTTGCACTCTGTAGGTGTTGAATATGCATAACTAGTGACACAGAAGCCAGCTTCTGGGAAGATATAAATGGGTGTATCCTCACTAACATAAAAAAAAACCCCAACATATGCTACCTCATCTGCGTAGTATTTGTGCTACAAGCTCTCATGTTCCTTGATAGAAATTTACATTTCTATCAATGCTCTTTTAAGTGCAATTCAATATGAAGAAACAAAAAGTATACCCTCACTGGTTGCTATAATTCTGGTAAAACTTATAGTAAAAACTAATGTTAAAATGAAATCCAAATTACAAAATAACCCAAACCGATATCCATATATCTGAGATTTCAGTGTACCTTAGCTTAGATATCAAATTAAAAGATTGGGTTGAAGTTAAGTTCAGATTAGTAATGACTAGGTACACTAGTAATTTCAGGTTAAAATTACACCTTAAACCCACCTCTACCATTAGCATTCGAGAGAAATGCACTAGCTGCTAAAAGGCACTATATTACTGTAAATTACTATATTTGGGTTGCCAATTTCATCTAAATCTATAAATTACAAATACTTAGAGGCAATATATAGGGCTATTTCCAATGTATCAAATACGAGACTAGGTAACTGCAATGTTAACAAGTTGATGGACCTAGAAAATTATTCAGCCACAGAATTTGGCTAGCAGTTGGTCCCTTTAGAATTAACGCATCAGCACAGAATGACAACATAACCTAAAAAATTATTTGCAATTGCCATTTACTAATACAGGGTAAATTAAAAAGCTACAATTATTATATCCACCTTGGGAAAGCACTTCTTAAGGTCAGCATCTCTTAAAACACTTTAAAAACTCTCTCCATTACTTCAACTCACCTTTTTAAGTTTTTTTATTGTCACCTGAAGATCCCCAACTTCAGTATCATACTGGCGCTTCAGCTCATTTAGTGCTTCTTCAGCTTTTCGTTTCTCCTGCAATATTTTTATCTCATTAAAAGTTGAGAGAGGCTTCAAATGTTTATGAAAAAATGCATCCACCAGTTTGGAAACCACACACTTTCCCCTTAGATTAATGCGTGTAATTTTGTCTTTCCATTATGTCAACCTGCCTCTTCCTTAAGATCCACAGATTCTGATTCTGTAATTGCAGTCCATATGTAAAATATTCATAGAAATAAAATGGTAAGGTGGAAGCAAAGATATGGATCATTTCAGTATTTATTATTCATGTCATAGTCTCCTGTGCTTAACATTCTCAATGTCTTAAAAAAAAAAAAGAACCTGAAATAGAAGTGTTCAAATTTTATTTGTACATAAATTTAGGTGTGTACTACATACACAGATGTATACATATACCCCTGCACATCAATCAGGGCATTACATCCTCTTTTTTCAGATGAGTTGTCTCTGGCTCAGCATACAATGTGCTAGTAATGACATTACTGTGCCACCATCGGTTACTTATTTTTGGTTTTCTTCTAAATTTTTTTACTTGCAAGTGTTGGAATGTTACAGGCCCATGTTCAGTAAGAGGTATGCTGATGACAGCATCTTCAGTTTCATATGGTAATTGGTCTGAGTATCAAACCAAGTACACTATTCTGAGTTTTATTTTAATCAAAACAAAGAGATTTTGAAAGGAAGTTACATCAAACACCATGAGAAGAATGGTATGTTCCACATGCTATAGATGAGAACGTGCTTAACTCATTCCAGACACTCCCCAGGGAGTTCAGTGCAGTTTCACAACGCAAGAAACCAGAATGCATCAATCATACGTGGTGCCAATGAGACAAGTTGAGTTGTCACACAGAAAAGACAGACATGGACTTTGCTCAGAATTCAGTGCTTTCCTCTAGATGATTCTGACATCCATGCGTTAAAATGATAATCAAAGTAATTAGATTAAGCTGGATTCTCTTACTGTTGGCACCTATATAGGACTCCTACATATTGTTTGGTAACTATTTGCTTCGCTTGAAGAAACAAAATATAGGACAGGCTCAACCTGCAGACAGTATCATGCAGAAGCAGGTGTCACGGTGGTATGAGTGAGATCACTCTGACAAACAATAGCCTTGAGTACAGGCATTAAGGTTAATGTCTTAGTACAATCCCACAAAGTAAATATCTTACATTTACTCACAGGGCGTTTTAGCAGGTGGAGTATGTGGACCTATGAGCTAAAGGGAACATTTAGGAATGAAAATAAAAAAGTGTTGTGAGAAACAAGTTACAGCCCACCTTTCATATTTATAGCTAGATGTGAACAGAGAAATTGCAATTCATGCAACTCGGTGACAATTTGAGGACTTTTTAGAATGAGAACCACAAACTAGATGTGGATAATACCTAGCAGATGTGGTTTTACATACTGGCAGTACATAGAATCATAAAATCATTTGGTTGGAAAATACCTTTAAGATCATCAAGGCCAACTGCTCCTGTTCACTACTAAACCATGTCTCTAAGCACCTTGTCAATCTGTCTTTTAAATACCTCCAGGGATGTGGACTCAACCACTTCCCTGGGCAGCCCGTTCCAGTGCCCGACAACCCTTTTGGTGAAAAAATATTTCCCAGTATCCAATCTTAACATCCCCTGGCACAACTCCAGGCCATTTCCTCTTGGCCTATTGCTTGTTACTTGGGAGAAGACTGACACTCACCTGGCTACAACCTCCCTTCAGGTAGTTGTAGAGGGTGATAACGTCTCCCCTCAGCTTCCTCGTCTCCAGGCTAAAGAACCCCAGTTCCCTCAGTTGCTCCTCATCAGATTTGTGCTCCAGACCCCTCACCAGCTTCCTTGCCCTTCTCTGGACATGTTCCAGCACCTCAATGTCCTTGTAGTGAGGGACACAAAAGCTGAACACAGTATTGGAGGTGCAGCCTCACCACAGCCAAGTACAGGGGGACAATCACTGCCCTCATCCTGCTGGCCACACTATTTCTTAAACAAGCCAGGATGCTGTTGGCCCTCTTGGCCACCTGGGCACACTGCTGGCTCATGGTTAATCAGCTATCAACCAGTACCCCCAGATCCCTCTCTGCCAAGCAACTTTCCAGCCACTCTTCCCCAAGCCTGTAGCGTTGCATGGGGTTGTTGTGATGCCAGTACAGGACCCAACACTTGGCCTTGTTGAACCTCATACAATTGGCCTCAGCCCATCAATCCTGCCTGTCCAAGTCTCTCTGTAGAACCTTCCTCCCCTCAAGCAGATCAGCACTTCATCCAGCTTAGTGTCATCTGCAAACTTGCTGAGGGTACACTCAATCCCCTCATCCAGGTCATTGACAAAGACATTAAACAGAACTGGCCGCAACACTGAGCCCCGGGGAACACCACGCGTGAATGGCCTCCAACTGGATTTAACTCCATTTACCACCACACTCTGGGCCCAGCCATCCAGCCTTCACACATTTGGGCCTGGCCATCCACATCACTGTGGATGTTCTCAGAGCAAGCAAATATGCACATCCCAGTCACCTTTTTACAGCAGTGAAAAAGTCTCCAGAGCTTTTTTCAGTGATTTACCACTTTTGGCAGAATAGAAATTTTCCAGAGCAAATATATTTGTTTTCTAAACATAAATGCTTAGTCTCTCTGGAAATTGAAAGTTTATCTCTACTGAGAGTTGCATTATCATTAGTCAAATACATTTGACATTTTTATGTCATTATATTTTGTTTCTAGGAAAACAACTGACTTTTATGGTTTGGTAGGAGTGTTTCCCTTGTGTAGAAACAGATGCTTTTGAAGCACATCTATCAGAATACCATTTATCTTCACAGATCAATTACCTTGAACTATTTAAAATCAGCAAGTTGGCAGACTGCACTTTATTGCTTCTGATTCTGCAAATACTTGGTGAAAGAACACATACCAAATATACATACATTCAGTATACTGTGTATCCTACAAAGGAATAATTATGCCCATAGTATATGTTTTAATTAATGCATTTCTTATGTCCATATTAGAACAATTCCACAAACTGTCATTCTTACGCACATTATAAAATTAGGTTTACCTTATGTGAATTTAGTAAAAGTTCAACGGGAAGCAGACAACACTGGTGGGGTGGTTTTAGTGTGCTGCTTTCTATTGGAATTACACAGCCACATGTGGCTCTAATACATATCTTTCAGTGGGTAAGGGGAAGAGGATTCTTGTACTTTCCCATCAAGACTGCAAGACAGTTGAAACAATGGCTAAAACTTGAGCACTTTGAAACAGAATTTCCCATCAACTTTGGGAGGTCCTGGCCCTCACAGACTGTCATCACAATTACCCTCTCATATGTCTGTAATTCTCCAAAATACAGATGCAGGATGAGAATTGGGAAAAGAAAGATCACCACTCCAGGCAGATAAACAAATTATCTAAGCATTAATTTCTACATAAATTCATCTTACTAAGAGAACTAGATGCCATTCTTTTATGGTGAAATGTCACTTTCTGCAATCTGTTCCCAATACTGGTCTCAGAAATAAATTCCTCCAGGCCAGCATATTCTCACAAAAGAGAAAGACTTTTTTTTCTTGGTTTATTACATCTGAGCAGCCATTCCTCTTTGGGAGAACATTAAGAGAATACATTTTTGATCTTAGGGATAGCTTCTTTTCATCTAGGCCCTGCCTTCAGTGGCTTTGAGTCAGCCCATCAGGATCAAAAACACACCTGGCCATCATTCCTGGATAAGATCATTGAGAGTTTCATAAGTATGAAATTCTGCAAATATGAAATACTTACTTCCTTTTTAACTTTATGTTCTGCAGCCTGTATCCGTTGTTCCATCTCTTCCTCCAGCTCACTGAGCTGAACTGCTGCTTTATCCTGAGCTCTAAAATTTAAAAGTAAATACTCTTTTAGGAATTGACCTCTGGCTTGACAGAAACGTTGTGTGAAACACATCTGCCTACCTCAGCTGAAACAAATTTGACAGACAGACATGGAAACAGTTTAACACTGCCCAGACCTTGAAACCGGTGTGGTTGGAAACCAAAAACACAAATTAATTTGAAGATCCAGGCAAATTAGATTTTAAATAATAGCTGACAGCTGATGATCAATATGAAATACATTACATCTGCATTTTGAAAATTAAGTTACACAGATAAAAGGCCTCTCTGGTTACCACAAGAAGAGACTTCAAAAGGGTAACTACAGCAACTTGCATCACCCACACATACAAGACCTCTGTCCTGAGGTTTTGGCAATAATGATGTGAGATTACAAATACTGAGTAGTTACAATAGGTAAATACAACTCTTGAAATAAAGAAGCAAAAATATGGTTTCTAAAATGGAAGCATAATGGGCCTGTATGCTAAAACTCAAAGTCACAGACAAGGAAGAGGAGTCAACATTTTCGTTTCAAGACGTTAAACCTAAGAATAGTGCCTGCAAAAATTTGGTCCAGGATTTACCCGAAGGATGAACAGTGAATCATTTGCAAGCTGCTATATGTGCTTATGCACCTGTGGGTGCATATAAACTAACATCTGAACTGAGTTTACAGAAATACTCTGCATGACGTATTTTGGCACTTTAACCCAACAAAGTGTGATACAGAAAAAAGTAACTGCGTAACTGAACTAGAAACACACTCACTATACCTTTTTACTGCGATGGCCAAAGTTTCCATCTCTGTGCTTTGAAGTTTGATCTCTCGGATGAAGTTCTTAATGACATGTTCGTACGGCTGGATTAATCTTGGTTCCGCTATGTGTATGTTCTGATACAGAACACTGACCTGCTCTTGTCTGAAAAAGAGAGATACCATTTTAACTTGCTCACTTGGAACAATGTTCTATAACAGGTTTGAAAAATGCAATACAAATTAAGATATTCCCCTCTTTGCATATTTTTACAACTTATTTTATTACAATAATACCATAATTGTTACTATAGCTCAGTTTCCCACTGTAAACAACTGAAGTATTTCAGCACACCATAAAATCTGTTTCCAGCTGAAATGCTGACATTCATTTCAATATACAGAAACATAACAGCAGCACAAAGAAATATAGATTTACTGGTGCCAGAGGCATTTCTGTGTACATACATATTTCTGTCTTGCAAAGGGTTTCCTTTACAAAGACTAATGCTTTAGCTGTATTCAGTATTTCCAGAAGTTAAGTTAAACTTAATGTGCCACTCCGAATATCTTCCAATGTATGCACAATTTTTTTTCAAAACGTATTTTAAACAAACTAACGTCAAGGTTCACAAAGAGTCACAATAATGTGCAGATTTATCTGATAATCAGATGCTAGAAACTAGGTATAAATAATACATCACTAAAGAAATCCACAAATGTTTGTTTACTCAATTAATAATTTGCATTTTAAAAACTGTTAAGGACACTTTCCTTAGCAACAGATTTGCGCTAAAACAACACTGACATTATCAGCACCATCAGAAATACTAAAACTAGGAGAAACAAACAAAAAAACTGTATACTTAAAATCTGCCCTCCTTTCACTCTGTACTATCGCAACGCAGATAAATATGAGATTTCTGCACAACAGAGTTTTGGAACGGTTCTGAGGATAACATGTATCACAAAATAAGTCTGAGGTTTGGTTTCATCAGATCTCAATTAAATTTCAAGTGTACAGCAGATTTATAGCATTTAGACACTGATTTCCAAGTACACACAGCTGGGCAAACAGTTAAGTTCAGTGTCTCAAAGTGTTACCATTTACAGAATTCCTACCACAGTTCCATTAACGTTGGGTAGGCTTGAAGCTGGAGCCTGGCTGTACTTCAAACATTACAAAACATAGCCTCTCCACAGTCTCTCTGTTTGAAATTCCATTTATTTTTGACAGTTGGACCGGGAGCTGGTAACGTATGCTGCATTTCATAAATTCCTAGCACTTCAGCAGTTGTCCTTCAGAGCTCCAAATTGCTCACCAGAACAGCCAATAAACAATTGCAGAATAGTTTCAAATTTTAGATAGAAGCAGACATTGTACATATCCAGAATTAGCTGCTGAGGAATGTCACTTCTTCAAACCATGTGAATATACGCACAGTCTTTTAAATGCATGTAAAATAGAAACGGCACTAGCCACAGTGAGATGGACAGGGTTTACCCATCTTTCAAGGCAGATAAAATCAGCACAATCTAGGTCAACATATATGATTTTTAGAAATACATAATACAAGCATGAAATCTGTGTTCTGGAATTTTCTTTTTTCCTTTAAATTTCACCAACAAGATGCTTACTAATAACCTTGTTTACTAGAAAAGCAAGCAAACTGTAGGAAAATTACTTGCTACTTGGTGCTAACATAAAATATTCATTACTTGAGCATGTTTTCCTGATTCTCTTCCAAATCACAGGTCACTGAATTAAGGTTGGCTCTTTAAAGACCTGCATACCTTTTTTCATAAGAATTACAGGGTTATGTCAGTACTCTTTCTTTCTCACCATCTTGCGCAGAATTAATCAGCTGCTGCCTTTAAAACAAATGAAACTACATCCGTAAAACTACACCGTACCTCCAACCGTACTACAAATCCTGTGTTCAAAACCAGCACATACATAATGTTAACACCAGAGGCCTCTTACCATGCAGATTACTAATGGAGTAGCAAAACTGAAGGTACAGGGTCTCACGCTGATGGGAGTAGAGAATCAAAGTTACTCTGGCCTTTGCTTACTGTATTTTGTGCCAAGAGCCCAAGACATTTGTAGTGGAATTTTGTAATGTATTTCTGCAACTTTCCTTCTCTTTACAAGAACACCACAGCCACTCCTTCTTGCAGCTTCTTTTCAAAGTATGTGCAAATATACATACCAAAACTGAAGACAGAAATCAGTATCTCCGTGCTGCTTAGCCTCTGCCATACAGCTAAGTCTGCTTTAAGATGCAGTAGTCAGAAGCACAATGTAGCTACCGTGAGAGTTTATTCTCCCTCTGTGATATAAAAACCTCTTTATATTTATTATTCCTCCTTAGCCCAGTGACCAGCTATCATCCAGATGGATTCAAAATATCTCAGTGACCCAGTTTCATGAAGCAGTACTTAGGCTTAAGACGCAAAACAATACCCACACAGACACAACTGTGCGTGATCCAGGAATGGGCCTGAAAGGCTTTTTTAGATTAAAATTGGTCACTGAAATTCCCAGTGACACTTACCTGAGTGCTCCTATGGCAACTTTATGGGAAGTCTTAATTACAAACATGACTCAACAACTACTGCAGCAACAAAAGAATAGAGGAGAAATTAAAGTCATGCAACAAAATTGATGAGACTCTCCTTAAATCACTTATGCCTTCAGCAAGAAGTAATACACTTTCATGAACTGGGAAGACCACTATTGATTTAATCACTCCAAGGATCCGTGATGAATTAGCAGCAAGCACACTGTGATAGTATTTTATAGAAACACAGGATTTTTAGAAGGATGCAGCTATATTCACTCTATATCAATGTGCAGCACGTGTTTGATGATTATGAGAGGAATTCTTCTGAATTGCCTCCTTCTATATTTCAATCACTCTTCTGTTTTCACATGCTTTGGTAAAATATCAGTGACACCACTGCAGTGGGACAGCTTAGTTGCAATGAATATTGCCTAATTTGTTTGTTTGTCTCCAGTTACCCTTGAATACAAGCTATTTCTTTCTACATATTCATTAGTTACTCAAAATTATTTATCAAGGAAGATTTCACAAATGGATTTCACCAGGCTGACTCCTGAACTCTGAATAGTCTATCCTTTTGCTAGACAAAAAGGCAACTAGAATGCTCTTACTTCAGTTTCAGCAAAATTCATCAGAAATGCTCAGATTTTCCCTTTAAAACTGGTCTTCCTTTAAATCCTGAAATCACTTATAAATTGATTTAGCTGCACTGCTTTAAGTTCCACACTAACACAACTGTAGACATTCACAAATACTAAGAAAGAAACAGCATTTTTGATATACAACATGAAATAAACTGTCCCCTAACCATCTGGCACTATGGTTACACTACCTACCATACATGCCTTTCTGCTGCTTCTACAAAGTACAGACACAAAACACTAGTACACAAAAAAGTATAGTACCCTGACCAAGTACTGCTCTGGCTTTACCTTACCTCATCTCAAAGGTTTTATAATGTAAGCTGTCTGTAAAATTAGTAAGTGGAATTAGTCAATACTTGCCCACCTTCACATATGAGTTAAATTAAGCAAAGTTACTGTATTCACATGGTTTCAGAGAGTTTCCGAGAGAATTCAGAAAGAAAATAAAACTGCCATGATGATAATGCAATCTGTAACATGATAGACTTAAAAAAACATGGCAGAATACAAGAGGAGCAGAAGAGGAAAAAAAAACAATAAAAACAACACTGGGATTAGAGATATCAGATATTTGGATTATATAAAGTGGCAAAATTTCATTTGACCCACAGAGCTATGCTAATTCTTATCAATTCATAGCATTATTTTGGTTTGCTGAATGTACAGTGACCGTTCGCTTAACTATTCACAAACTGAATGCTGCTCAGAGGGCATTGATGGAATTTATCAAGGAAGAGCAGCTCTACAGTTGATCAGTATCTTACATGTGTTCCCTATGTAGCTGCCTGGGAGAGGATGCCATGTCCCCTTAGTCTGACCCCAAGGGCAGTATTTTCAGGAGTTTTCCACCAAAGATGTACAAAGTGCAATAAGCTAATGGAAGACTGGAGGAAATCAAAGATGTGCCAGTGGAGTTATCACACCACCTTCCCTCATTCACGTGGTCAAGATTCAGTGTTTCTTCTGTTGCGATTTTGCATATGTTTACCTGGGTCTTCTTTAGAAAGGTGGAGACTGACAAGATGACCGGGCACAATTTCAGGTCCCTCCTGTGCAGAGCACTCTGGGGAGCACAACACAGCAAAACAAGGTATAAGCTCCCTTAGGCAGGAGCTGCACGTGGGCTGTCAAGCTTAGCAGGGAGAGGGTTGTATTGAAAGGCAAGAAAACTAGACCAAAGTATTCCCCAGCAGGACAGTTTTTATAGGTCCTTCTGTGTACATGCACATCTTTCTCAACACCATCCCTTGCCAAATACTGACTTCTGTCTTCACTTCTCTCTTCTTTCTTATCCATGTTCTTACCTGGAGGCTTAAGGTCCCCAAACACCTCCTCTATGTTTTCTTGACCCAGACATCTTTCCATCACTGGAAAAATATACTTTATATTTTTGTAGGTGGTGGTAAAAGCAAAGATAATCACCACTACACTTAAAACTGATTTTCATGCTGATAATGTGCTCCCATTCCTAAGTCTTAGAACACATATTCTAACAGTCTCTTCCCAGTGTAGGTGAGCTTGTAAAATTACTCTCATGACTTGTAGCTGCTCTGTTCTCATATGGGCATGAAGAGATGAAGTATTAGGTCACCTGAGCTGGAAGGTCTGAGCTGGGTGGTCGGAGGAAAAAAAAGATCAAGCCTTATACATTCAATGATTGCCCTTACACTGGAGACCAACAGCCTATGTGTGCCACCAAGAGATAAGAAATACCTTTTCTTGAAAATCAGACACATTGGATATGCCATCATATCGGCCACCAGCAAAGGTCGACCAAATCCGTTTCAAATTGGAAAGGATCTACTTTTGTCGCAGCTGAGTGCCTAACACTTCCTCCTAGATTAAGTGCCTTGTGGAAAAACAGATTACACAAAACATTAACATGGTATTTCTCAACCAGAAGCACTATGTGGTTTTTTTAATACTTTTATTTTTCTATATCTGACCCTCC